ACCAATGGTAAAACGTTTATTTTGTCTTAAATAATGGATATCAGAAGCCCATCTTTTCCCGGTAAGATCAATGTTGATTTAGAGTGAAAAATGACTCGTGTTTTCAATTTCGAAGATTTTTGATGATATTGAGTTAGAGACTTAGCTACCTTAAACAAACTTCGAGAACTTTTAGAAGTATTTTTTTTGGCTTTCATTTTTATATTTTACCGAAATTAAACATGTTTAATTAGTCCTGTAATGAGTGAAATATCGTTTAATGGCCCGTCAGCTCTAACTGGGCTATTTCACGCCAAATTAGTCTTTTAAAGAAGTAAAATGGATTTGCAACGCATAACAAAAAGTACACAAATCCTTCAATATGGTGGCCATTTCGGACAGAGGTCCATTTTCAAAGTAGTTAGCTCTCTCCATGCAGAATAGAAGGGGTGGAGAAAGAAATATTGATTTTATTTTTTTTTCTATTCGCTGAAAGGACGAAGGGCTATAATGTCAATTTTTTTTATTAGGCAGTGTTGATTTAATTGATTTAAGAAAGTTTCCATTAATGGAAGGATACCAAGTGTTTATAACAAATATTACAGCCACCGTGTTAAATACACCAATATCTTCCAAACACTTATGTGTTATTTGTTAAAAATAAATAAGATGACAAACAAACGTTTACTAAAAGACCATAATCATAATGGCGTTAAAAGTAACTAAGTCTCTAACCCAATATCATCCGAATTATTTGTCAATTTAAATCAACATTGATGTTGTGATCTTACCGGGAAAAGATGGGCTTCTGGTATCCAATATTTAAGACAAAATAAGCATTTTACCATTGGTACACGAATTGTGTTCCATAATGCGTTTCAGCCCCATTTGTAACCAGGGACTCGAAGAACGAGTCTAGACATATTCCACGAGTCATGTCAAACGGTGATCTTATATTCTTATCTGGAGAGCATGCGCAATAAATATTATAGGTGTAGACTGGTATAACCAAACGCCAGAGATTGCCATTCGATTGAGACTTCTCGCGTATTTCGCAGAACATAACTGATTAGAAATTAGAGTAAAAACAGAAACGATTGAATGTAAATCAGTTTATATACATTCGTAATACATTATTATATGGTTTGCGACACATTTGACTCAATTTCTAGGTCCGAAATATTAGCAATTTTGCTCCTTTAAACCTGGAGTATACTTTGCAGATTCGGGTTTCATGTAATACACACGCATGGCTCGCGTACAGATCTATGTAATTTTCACACAATAGCAGTACATTATAGATATCTCTTTCAAAACATCAGATGAGATGGGGTTTAACGGGCTACTTTTGGGCACCATCGGGGCTAACGAAGGTGGGGATATTTCATGCGGTGGGCTATAAGGGACTAGATGCCACCTGAATTAGTATGATGGTATGCACTATTTTGAGTGTAACACTCCTCCGAATAGGGGAATATGGGCTAAATCTATTTGTTAAGGTCAGCTTAATTTTTGTCAAGGTCGCTGAGAAGTAAATAAGGTTAGGGCACGTGATTGTTGGCGAAATTGTAGGTTAATGTTAGGGTAACCATTGGGGGCTAGATCCAGGGTTAGGGTTAGGGTTGGGATTAGCGCGAGCCCTGTTACATGCCGCGACCTATAACTAAAACATTGAGCTGGCCGTATCATTTTGCACTAGCCTTATTATTTTTAACAGTACACATTGTTCATCCGGATTGTTGTTCATTTGTCAACGTTTCATCTCACAATTACAGCCATATTAAAACCACTTTCAATATTTTGGTGTCGCTCATAAATATTCCCTCGGGTCTTAGTAAGGTTTCTAATCAAACATTGGATGTATTATAAGGGTTTGGTGTTAAAAGACTATTCGACCATTTTGGTTAAAGTCCGTACCCACTCGGCAAACCTCGGCAGATTACGTTACTCTACATCTTGCCTCGGCTGTATGACGGTAAGTGATATGTACCTACGCCTATACAATTGCGATACGTCACCGGTTTACTTATTAGGAACACTCGCCACTTTTAAAAATTGCTTCGTTCGAAGCGTGTGTAGAATTTTCAGTGCAAAGTTGTCCTTGTTTGAAAAAATCGGATAAACTTGAAAGAAAAATAGCTTCAGACTTTGAAATATTTGTATGATAAAACATCCTTTAACGGTGTCACCATGGGCAACGCCGTTGGTAATCCAGCAACTTGAAAGTAGTTCCAATGGCGAACTTCGTCATACAGCCGAGGCTAGATGTAGGGTACTTGAATCTGCTGAGGTTTGCCGAGTGAGTTCGTACCGTGTACAAGCTATCATGTGACAAATTGTTATAACACCTGTCACTGTTTTATGTAACTTTAACACCCACGTGTTCATCCTCTTATAACCAACAAACAACCATGTTTAACAACAGTAATCTATTACCACTGTTACTTCATATCAACAACTACAATGACTAAAGCCTTACTCACAAACCGCTGTACGTACTACTACGGGCAGTCTACGGGGGAAATTGTTTATTACCCCCCTGCGTGAGACTTATGCGTTACTTGCGTGTGTTCGGCACCGTAGAAGATCTCAGACTGGTAGTGGAGACTTTTGGTCCTGCACATACAAAATTTTAACCCGTTTTTTTGCGGCTAGTCTGTGAGCTACCATACCCCACGACCCGTGTGTGTCAAATCACGTATGGCGGGTTGTGAGTGAGGCTTAAAACATCCAAATGTTTGGGATGACTCAACAGGTATGGTGCTGGCTCACTTACCAGGGGGATTCCGGTGTGGACCGAGAAAGCTTTGTGCAATTCTGCAGTCTGGTTTCGACATGTCAGTTTTCAAGACGCAAAAGAACCGATGACAGGTAAGCAGGCAGGCAGGCAGGCTGGCGGGCTGGCAGGCTCGCAGATAGGCGGACAGGCAGGCAGGCAGGCGGGCAGGCAGACAGGCACACTCAATATACTTGAGAGACTATCATTACACAATAATTCAAATGTGTACACAGAAACGCCCAAACATTATTCCCCCATTCGCAATCAGAAATACACAAAATCACGATTCGCAAACATCAATGTATCTACAACCCTATTAGAAAAACCGCAGCAAATAAATGCTGCGGAACTGGGACTTCCGATACAGCGACGTTCAGAGAATCATTCAACATTAAACATTATTTAGATTTGATATACGTAAAGCCACTGCACTGGAAAGAACCCAAAGAGACGTTACCAGGAAGTTGAATATCCAGAAAGCCTATAGACTTTCCTATATTTTTATATTTCTCCTATGCAAATAAATAATTTGTTCTTGTCAGGAGTTTACCTACAGAAGACAGAGAAATAAATTTAGTTTGAAAGAGATCCATCCGATTAAATACGGAGGGCAAATGATTCTGATATAAGTTTAAACAAAAGTATTTGTATTGATGCGCAGACCACAATTTGTTTTTTGTACGAACCAGAGTCTGAACCAAGAGAAGATAATCACATAGATGGGTGTGCAGATTATCAACACACCAATACAAATATAAAATCGTCTCGACAGTTCTACTATCAACATTAGTATTTATTGTCACTGATGCTGGCTGTATACGAAACGTGATGTTATTTAGGATAGTTAAGTAAAATCGTGATTTACATTACAAAACGTGAACCCGATTTCATGCCGAAGGGATGACCATACGATAAGATGAGATTTTAAGAACAACATACCCATTACAAAATGTGAACCTGATTTCATGCCGAAGGGTTAATCATACGATAAGATAAGATGAGATTTTAAGAACAACATACCCATTACAAAACGTGAACCCGATTTCATGCCGAAGGGTTGACCATAAGATAAGATAAGATGAAATTTTATGAACAACATACCCATTATGCTAGGACATTAAACCCATTTCATTTCATTTCTCCATGTTTTCCCTTTGTCAGTGGTGCAGGATGGGGGCCTGGCAAGGGACGAAAAACTGAGATCCCGTGTATACATTACCGTGCAAGTAAAAGATGCCTTGGCAGTTGGAATTCAAAACATTTCCCTCGTAGTACACTATCCGACCGAACTAATTTAGGAAATACACATCCTTTCATTCTTACTCTTTCTGATTTTTTGGTCTAGTCGTTCGAATGGGACGGAAACCGGGCCCCGTTTCACATTGGTGTGCACATAAAAGATCCCTTGCTAGTTGGAATTCGATATAAGAGTAAGCCGTAGTGCCGCTGACCCGGCAAAATTTCCCCCATAGCACACTGTAAGGCGTATGCCCGTCTTCAATAGCCCAGTTAGAGCAGAACAGTAGGACGTTAAACCCCATTTCATTTCATTTCGCCCCTGTGCCAGCAAAGACCATACACAGATACAAAACAACCCGGACCATTCATCAAAACAAATATCCGGACCATAATCTAAAATCAAAGGTTACATAATTCTTAACAACAATAATTTCTCTCTGGATTTGTAAACATTCGACCAGATTACGTCTTTAAGTCAACAACAATGTTAACTAGAAAATGCCAAATCTTTACAATGTTACTTTGTAAAGCGACACTAGCTTTCCAAAAAAACAAAGGCCAACTATAAGACCAGCAAACATTCTTTCTAATGAAAGAGCTGAAGGAGATATATACCGGTATATACCAATATTTGATTTTGAAATTGTTAGCAAGTTTTACATCTAAGTTTGATAAGTACAAGAACAACTGGACTGCAGATTATAATGAAACTGAGATTGTTGTGTTGGGACAATCCCGTGGATTCTAGTTCAAGATCGAGAACAAAATCCCTCTTTGATCTTCACGTTGTCGGGTTAACCTTTCAGTATATCTGATTTCTATCTTTTAATGGCGGAGAGTAGAAAACATTACTCACAATTTTAAAGCAAACGATACAAAACCACCATTAAATTTAAGACGATCACCTAATAGTTTAAAATATCTGAGACGTTTCGAAAAAATATTTCATGGCTATTTTGACGGATCGGCCTTAAAACTGCCAAAAACCAGAACAAGGCATTACCTTTCTGACTTCACCCACCACATCATATTTTTACAATATTAATGCAGGACTAAGACTGCCTGTAGGAAGACCTTATGTTCTATTGGATGTTCAACCTTTCCAGTCATCATGATGAATTACTTTCTGAAACCGATTAGGTGATGTAAAGGTTGCTCTTGGTTATTTTTCTGAAATAGAACAAAAATGATTTAATGTAGTAATTTCAATCTTAAACATAAATATAAAACAGACCAACGAATTCTCGTTAACTAACAGTTTCTGAACAAAGATTCACAATTATTCGTGTATCAATTAAATAACATAACATTTAATATCACATTTTTTTTGGCGGGGTTGGTGCTAAAACACAGGACGTTAAAGGAGCCAAATCTCTATTCATTGGCACCTAGAAATGGACACAAATGGAAGGCATATAATAATGTAATGAATGTATATAAACTGATTTACATTCAATCGTTTCTGTTTTATTTCCGGTCTACACCGGTATTATTCTCCTGTGGAGTATTTTAGCCTCATTCACCGAGTCGCTTCATTACACATGGCGCTCGAAAGCATTCTGGCACGCAATTTTTGTGCCATTTTTAAAAATTGGATATAAGAAGCCCATCATTCCACGGTAAGATAACAGCGTCAATGTTGATTTAAAATGACCAATAAGTCGTGTTTGCAATGTCGAAGAGTTAAAGACTTGTTTCCTTTAAACCCCATTTCATTTTATTTTCGGAGTATTTGATTGAACTATAGTAGACTAGAGTTCGGTTCCTGGAGTCTGTCCAAGACAGTTCTAAGATCGAGACGGATCATAGACTTCAGTCAATAAAATCCCCAAACAACTTAAGATTATTTGCTGTCCTCCTTAGCAGATCTCCACTAAAAATCACTCTAAAATCACTTGACAGGATGTCTGGCGGTCAAGATATCCGGATAACCTTACAGTCTGGACAACATCTAACACAAAAGGTTTGAAGAGATACCTTGCTAAGTATACAAACACGTCGTGAAAAGTTGGTCTTTGGAACTCGCCGATAATCCAATACAATAATTGGTCAACATCTGGATCTCCTGATGGGATTAGAAGTGGTATCGAACGTTTCGGGTAGAGTAAATAAGCAAGAATGGTTTAATGTGATTTGCATTCCGAATTGGTTTATTTATATCACCTAAACAATCTTTGATCCGAAATGAAATGAAATGAAATGGGGGTTAACGTCCTACTGTTCTGCGCTCCGAACTGGGCTAATGAAGACGGGCTATGGAAGAAATTTTGTCCGGCCTACTCTTATATTGAATTCCAACTGTCAAGGGACCTTTTACGTGCACGTCAATATATACACGGGACCTCGGTTTTTCGTCCCACCCGAAGGACTGGACAGCTGTCCTTGTCAGACCCCCTTTCCTGCAACACTGAAAATGGGAAACCACGTCGGAAAATCCCTTTGGCGAGGTATTGTATCATGTGAAGTGAAGATGGTAAAGTAAGGAACCAAATTAACATAATGTTTATTGGCTTATATTTTGTATTCTGTTATTCATGCATTTAAATCGTACAATATTGTCGAGAAAAAATATACCATTTAAACCAAACAAGTCACTTCTAAATATCGGCAGAATAAGTAAAAATCCTTACTTATACAAATCAGCAGAATATGTAAAAATCCTTATTTATACACATTGACAAAATAAGTGAAAATTCTTAACTTAAACACATTGACAAAATAAGTAAAAATCCTTGACACGATACGAAGAATTAAAGAATAAAAGATAAATATTTATGAATAGCTCAATTATAGAATTATTGAGAGGCGTGTGTTATTTTATTTGAGCAGAGAAAATATCCAGAAAAAAAATCTATCTTGTTAGGTGACATTCTAATACCCTAGGTAACGTGCCAACAGTTAATCCAATATCTTTGTTGTTATTCGAAGTTCAACCGCACCTCGTAGATAGGATTAATTGGTGTTATAAAAAGGTCTACGGATAAAAATCATTTTATCTCGCCAACAGTTAATTCAATAGTTTTTAGATTTGTTATTAAATCCTTTGTAGTTCAACCGGACTATCAGGATAGCACTATTCAACCGCGCCTCGTAGATAGGGTTATTTGGTGTTATAAAAAAAGGTCTGCGAATTAAAATCATTATTTTATCTCGCCATCAGTTAATTCAATAGTTTTGTTATTAAATAGTTTGTAGTTCAACCGAACTAGAAGGATCGCAGTATTTATTTTCAGAGAGAGAGAGAGAGAGAGAGAGAGAGGGAGAGAGAGAGAGAGAGAGAGAGAGAGAGATGGGGTTTAACGTCCACCCGACACAAACTAGGTCATTTTGAGACTAACACATGGTTCAATTTTAATTCAACAATTCGCTTGCGCGTAGGGATCTTTAGCAGTGGCAGGAAACCGGGGAACCCGGAGAAAACCCACGGGGTTGGACAGGCGACCCTACTCTTTGTCACGTACAACCAGGGAATCAAAACCCCACCAGTTAACTAAATGTCCTACGCGTGTAGGGGTCGTTAGCTGTGGGAGGAAACCGGAGCACCCGGAGAAAACCCACGAGGTTGGACAGGCGACCCTACTCTTTGTCACGTACAAGCGAGGAATCGATACCACACCAGTTTTCTGAAAATTTTAATGATACATATTCGTTCATTGTCCGAAAATCACCAGTCACCTTTATTAGAACAATAATGTCTATATTGATGCAACAAAACAAGACAGACAGTCCGCCTTCTATAAGATATATCCAGATAACCAACCTTCTGGAAGATCCATTTAGACAGCAACTAATCTGAAAAATCAATTCCAACAAAAAAAACATATGAAAGACTCCATTCTGTCTGCGTCGTAAATCGGCGGTTTAACCCTATAAGAAACATACCAATCCCCACAGCTGAACGATAGACGCTAAACTTACAATTACTTTTTGAACTTGGAAATATATCGCCCTAACTTAAGAACTAACTTAACCTCATCGCTGTCATACAATCACCATTTCCATACAAAGTTGTCTCAAGATTTGTGTGGTTTATACAGGATTAAAGGCCATCTAAGTAATAGGCCCCAGCTAATTTCAACGTATGTAACGCATTTGTATCTCATTGAATAACAAATAATGTAAAACATCCTATTGGATGTGCGCCATATTACGATCAATTGTTTTAAGTAACATAATGTGTTTCAGAGATGGGAATCATATTTTTTACGTAAACAAAATAATCTTTAATCTATTTCAATTGTTATTCTAACAGATTAGACACTCATTTAATTGTTCTATGTCAATATTTAAGCGTCAAGAAGCGACGGTTACGGAACTGTATTTTTTATCTGCAAGCGGACAGAAACGATAGACGATACTCTGCTATCATGTCCGAAATAATCCGTACACCATAGACAAATTCCAGTTATTGAATCATTATGACAACGTTTAAATATTTGTCCACCTCGGAAATTTCTCTTGGATATAACTGTCCCTGTTTACATGCCGAAATCTTTATTTGGTCGCCTGGCACCACGATCAAAGCTAGACACAATCAAAATGGCGGAACACCTGGACATACTTTATTCTAATGTAAATAGGGAATTTTGCACTCTGAATCCCCAACTTCGTTTAATCGGAACTGAAAGCAAATATTTTATACATAGATAAGATGTTAACATCTAAAGCGCCCTATTCACGTCTTCTTTTTTGTTCAAAAACAAATCATTTTTCTAGATCCGGCAATATCTTTAAACAGTATGAACATATCTTACAGTGATTGGCTAATTTGACCGCAGTATTTACGAATGGAATGATACTAATGTTCTACTTTCCTTTAGGTGCTCACCGACAAAAAAGACACCCCTCACCTTTTTTGTTTGCGATCTGCAGGGTTTCTGGCCATTTTACAAATCTCTGCACTAAAAATTTCTCCGAGGAATTCGCAGTTTCATTAAGTAGGCAAACAAATTGGTGACACGAAAACATTTTATTTGAGTTGAAGAAAGTAACGAGTGTTTAAACTTTCACATGTTTTAGTTTGTACATGCGTCTCTGTAACAGCTCTAAGTGTGTCAAAAGTGCAGGTGAAGAATTATTTCATCATGGTTACAGGGAGAGAGAGAGAGAGAGGGGGGGGGTAACCTCCACTCGACATAAACTAGGTCATTTCGGGCCTAACATATGGTTTAATTTTATTTCAATAATTCGCTTGTGCGTAGGGGTATTTAGCAGTGGGAGGAAACCGGAGACCCAGGAGAAAACCCACGAGGTTGGGCAGGCGACCCTACACGTTGTCATTTCCAACCGGGAAATCGAAAACAAAGCGCAAGTGAAGAATGATTTTATGGTTACACTGTAAAAGTTGATATCGTTGACTAAACAACAAATAACTTTAATAAATGAAACTATACGACACTATCAGATCGAATATGTCATTTTATATACGTAATGTTTAGTAGTTCATCAAAATTGCTAGTAATCAGGCAGAAGTCATTAAGTAGGTGTTATGTCACCAAGATCTTAAAACTGTGACTATTAACTGATATACACCGCTATTCAGGTTTGCTAATTAATGACTACTGTATAATTTCTACATACTTTCTATATATACTAAACATTAGTTTAGAATAATGATCACTTATGTCCTTTAATGACAGGCCTAGGTTCATAAATCAACGGTATCCGCTTGCCCAGATGTTTGCCCAATGGGTGGGGGTGGGGGCAGGGGCGACGCACTCCTAATATTTTGACAATTACCCGTTGCGAATAACCGGAAACTGTCTGTTTTGATAAACTTCCAGATGGGTCTGGTCAAATATCGTAGTGCTATATAATTTTGGTAAAGGGTCTCTTTCTTTCTACCAAATGAATCTAAAATCAAAATTTCTATTACTGATAAATTGGATATTTTGCATGCTGTAGAAATTGTAAGACTTCTGCGTTTTGCTTGTCTAATTAAATATTGTACAATTCTTTCGGTTTTTTTTCAATTGTGTTTACAATACGGTCCAACAACATCTTCAAGAAGTTTATGTATGATTCTTCACTAACGATATATCAAAAAATTATTAAACAATTTCTTAGATCTTCATGCAGTGTAGGCCAACCGAAGCACTAAATCTGTCTGTGCTGGGGACACCCAATCAATGGTCATGAATGTTATGATAGCAAAGGGAGATTACCTTATAATCTGTGTTATTTGTAGAGTTATGAATGTCAGACCACGTCACTTGTTTATGGAATAAATAACTGACCACTAGAGTAAATAATATCTTCACCAGTTCTCAACATATCACACTCATACCAGGCACATAAGTGTAAATACACAACCATTCCTTAATACACAGGTTTAACTTGGTGACATTTTTAACACATTATTTGGCCTTCCGCAGATCAATTCTTCGTTAGTTATTTGTTTAACACCGTTGAATACTTTGGACTTTTGACACATAATTTGGTCTTTCGTGGGTCAATTCTCGTATAATACTTTGCACTTTTATACATTTTCTAATATATAATAATATCACTATCACAGCAACGTTTAAAACAAAAATTCACTTTCTCGGTATTGTTTTACCTCCCTCGGGCCAGAAGTTCAGAAAAGTGTTTGTATTGTTGATGAATAAAAACTACAAAGTCACCCAAAATGATATTTTTTTGCGCCCACATTACTGGATGGTCCAGTCCAAACATACAGCTGTTTAAATATAACAACACCCAATTTGTTTTAGAGATCAGAACTTTCAAATGGAGAAAAAAATATATCGACCCCGCCTTATATTATATAAGCCTGTGGGGTGAGGGGTCTGGATTCACTGGCTTTCATTTTACAATATTGGACAGGACTTATGAGTCAATCTATTCGAATTTTAAACAAATCAAGATAGACTTAAAGAAACCACAATCAAGAATATATGGTAATATAGAGTTGTAGAAACGCACATGATACTAATGGTCATGAATATTATTAGAGTGGCGAACAGTTATGTTTTGAAATGAACCATTATGATACTGCAGTTTTACTTTTATGATATTGATTTGATAATATGTCTGCAATCGAAGTTTTAAAATTTATAGCATCAAAGTGTTGAAATGTATCATATTAAAATGTATGATATCGAAATGATCAATCGAAGTATTAAAATGTCTGTAATTTAAACCTTAAATATTTTGTGATTATTATACTTTAAACAATGTTTTTATATTTTTGTAAATAATTGATTACGGGAGATAGAATTTATATAAGCCCCGACTTGTTTCCAGTTCCTAGATTTATATATTTCATATTTATGTAAATATTTATTGAATAAATAATGTCAGAAAAACGAGTGTTAAAATTTATGAAGTAGAAGCGATAGAATATATGATATTGATGTGTTAAAATATGTAATACTATAGTGATATTAAAACACTTATTTGTATGATATTGTAGTGTTTACTAAGATATATAAGTGTTTAGATTATAAAATGTATAATATTGGTGTTTTTGTATAAAATGTATAATATTGGAATTTTTAAATTATAAAATGTATAATATTGAAGTATTTAAATTATAAAATGTATAATATTGAAGTATTTAGATTATAAAATGTATAATATTGGTGTTTTTGAATTATATAATGTATAATATTGGAGTGTTCTTAAATTATAAAATGTATAATATTGAAGTGTTTAATTTTTTTGGAGTGTTTAAATTATAAAATGTATAATATTGAAGAGTTAAAATTATAAAATGTATAATATTGAAGTGTTCTTAAATTTTAAAATGTGTAATATTGGAGTGATTATAAAATTTCAAAATGCTTGAAATATCTGTATCTGTATGATACTGAAGTGATAAAATGTGTGACATCGAAGAGATAAATCATACAATATAGAATTGTTAACATGTATTCTATGAAAATGTTAAAATATAAGATACAGAAGTGATGACACGTATGATGCCCAAGCGATAAATTGTATGATATCGAAGGGATAAAATGTATGACATCGATGTCATAAATGTAAAAAAGTGTTGAAATATATGATATAGAAGTGATAACATGAATGACATCAAAGTGATAAAATATATGATGTCGAATGGATAAATTATGGAAGTATTAAAATGTATGATATCGAGGTTATAAAATGTAATATATCGAAGGGTTTAAATGTGTGGTATTAAAATGCTTAATTATATAATATTCAAGCGTTTAAATATGTGGTATTAAAATGCTTGAATATAATATTAAAGTGTTTAAATGAATGATATTGAAAATGTTCAAATGTATGACATTATAAGTGTTTAAATGGATGATATTAAAAGTGTTTAAATGAATGATATCGAAAGTTTTTAAATAAATGATATTGAAAGTGTTTAAATAAATGATATTGAAAGTGTTTAAATAAATGATATTGAAAGTGTTTAAATAAATGATATTGAAAGTGTTTAAATAAATGATATTGGGGTGCTGAAATGAATGATAATGAAGTGCTGAAATGAATGATAATGTAGTGCTTAGATGTATTGTGTATAGTGTGTAATTAAATATATTTTAAATAGATACTGTTCAAACCAAGTGCTTAAAATTTCATATTAGAACACCTTACAATACATGGTAGTGAACGTTTTAAACATTTATATTACTGAACGTTTTAAACATATGGCAGTAAAACTTAGTTCAGATTGTACTAAAAGAGATTCCTTACAATGAAAGGCTATCTGTTTACTTATTCTAACCTCCATTGTGTTATTTTTACGTGGGAATGTCATGGGTGCAATTCACTTTGTTTACACCAGGATTGCTTAAAAAAATTACATAACTCGCAAATTAGCGAGCTTTTAAGTTGCTATCAATTTATCAATATTTTAACTTTAGTGTTGTAATGAACTCGGAGTCATCTATAATGCTTCTGTTAACTGTCTGGTTCCTATGTGGACTATGTGGACTTGGATTAGCGGGTAAGTATTGTCCGTTTTAACTTATCGCTATATTTAAGTGTTATCAATTTTTCATCTCATTGATATACGTTGTGATGTGTGTCATGTATACGCCAGGGCATGCTTAAATTCTATAAGTTGAGATGAGTGTCGTATAAAGTTGGCCGTACTTACTGTATGATTCCACCTGATGGCCCATAACGGCATGAGTCTTTTTGTCTGTACTGTTTTCATGTACTGTCTGTTCTTAACAATATATATATATATGTTTGCGCCGTTAGATCGCACTGTTTCCTATAAGAAAACCACTGTTGAACTTTAAATTCATTAAAAAGTGTTACAGTTTGGTTATACTGAACTCTATATGATTAAAGCCAATAAGATACGTTTTACTTTTGATCGAATACTCTAACAAAGAAAAGCAAAACTCAAAATGATTAACGAATCGAAAATGTAAGACAATATTTTATAGAAATAAGTATTATTACGGTATAATAAGTTAAGAATTGTAATTTTCATAATAGAATCATAAGATTATCAGAAAATCTTTGAAAATGGGGTTTAATGTCCTACTGTTCTGCTCCGACTGTGGTAATAAAGACGGACATCTGTGCTATGAGAGAAATTTTACCGGGGCAACGGCACTATGGCCTACACTTATATCGAATTTCAACTGCCGAGGGATCTTTTACGTGCACGCCAATGTATACACGGACCTCGGGTTTTTAACTCATCCGAATGACTAGACAGCTGTCCTTGTCAGGCCCTGGAAATCTTTGCGATATATCTTTAAATCTGCGTCATAGAAAGGTTTCTTATCTTTGAATATTATTTATTAATTAATGATATTTAATAAATTCGGGCATACGATCTGCATGTATTAAAGTCCCAGGGTTATTTGTCAAAGTCTAATTCCTATAAACAAATTACTGATTTATTTAGGCAACGTTTCAGACACTCGACGTTTTCAAGCAAGTACAGTTACAAATGTGTAAGGCAATTATCTATAGACACGCAGTAACAACAAATCAGAAACCATGCATGGCAACAGCAAGACCAAATACACGATCCACTGATAACATGGGACTTGATGCGTAGACCTTTTGAGATAATGTTGTTGTCTCTGCATCGCACCGGAAATGTAAAATTACTCCTGGATTTTACATACATGTATTTACCTTCCAATATGTTAACTGTATTAAACCACTAAAGAAATCCTCCGTCTTGTAAACTGTGCATTTAACGGTCTTAATCAACTATCTAATATGAGTTTTCCATGCGATGGTGTAGTCAGATCACATCAAATGAAACCCCCCGAAGCTCCAATGCTTCTTTAGTTTCAAACGGAATATCTGGTTATGGGCAAAGTGTAGTCGGAAAAGGGGGATCCCGTGTACACATTGGTGTGCACGTTAAAGAATTATAGACAATTGGAATTCGATATAAGAGTAGGCCGTAGTGCTGCTGGCCGGGCATCATTCGCCCCAAAGCACAATGGACGGCGTATGTCCGTCTGGATTAGCCAAGTCGGCACAGAACAGTAGGACGTTAAACCCCAGCTATGTGATTTCATTTATTTAGGTCCCTTCGAATACAAAAATAAACTACTCAAAGAATGATTTGATTTTACTGAAGATTTTTTCTTTACCAGTAACACAATTAAAGATACATTATGCAAGAGCTAAATCTGCCTATTGCAGGTCTTTCTTTAGGCATGAAATGTTATATTAATTATTAATTAGACATTAATTAACATATCCAGACCATAATTAACTCTCGATGGCATGGCTGGCCTGCGATGTTTATTGGATTAGGTTCTGATTTGCTGTTCGACTTCCATTCATAATTTGGGGGTTGGATGGCCGAATGGTTAGCACGTGCGCGCTGCGCTGCATCATACGGTCTGTCATTGAGTCAACTTGTACGTGACAAGGAGTATAGTCACCTGTCCAACCTCGTGGGTTTTCTCCGGGTCCTCCGGTTTCCTCCCACTGCTAAAGACCCCTACGCGCAAGCGAATTATTGAAATAAAATTGAACTATGTGTTAGTCCCGAAATGACCATCTCTCTCTCTCTCTCTCTCTCTCTCTCTCTCTCTCTCTCTCTCTCCATTCATAATTTAATTATTAATGGGATAATCGAGACTGTGTTTTATATCCTACCGACTTTAGTAATGATGATCGAGGCTAGGCGGAAAATTCAATCGCTAAAATCTCGGTTCGTAGTGGATCAATTCCCTTTACATTATCTAGATTTTAACTTTTATAGTGAGAACTGCCAGCTCTTCATCTAATCTCACATAATGTATCTTTGAATGGCGGTCGTAAAATCAGTGGTAATCTTCAATCTTCAAATAACCGTCTACGTGACCAATCTGAATACTGTTTGGACCAATATGTGTGTGTGTGATTGTACAATTGTATATTTGACTTTTATTCTTCTTGTACCTGAAACAAATAAAAAATGGTACCGTTAAATCAATGGTACACTTCAAATAATCATAAACGTGACCAATCCGAATACTATCTGGACCAATATGTATTTGTGAGAGTACTTTTAAACTGTATTCTTTGACTTGAATTCTGGATGTTTGTCCCTTATCGGCCAAATTCAAACCCAACGACCGGCAATACCGAAAAAGAAAACTGACATGAGTCCGGACGACTGTGCTTAGGTCATAGTTGATAAACTAAAGAAGAAAAATATTGATGTGGTCAACAAAATTTTGTTTCCATTCAATAAATTCCTTTTCCTCTTGGCGTTTTTTATATTAAAAACGTAGGCGCCATTTGTTTAGCTATAAGTGCAGACGATGCAAATAGCTTTAGGTATTTCCTGACAACGCCGTTCTGTAATCGGATAAAATTCGGATTTAAAGAGTGCACAGAAAACAAATTCCACAACGAACCATAATTATTAGGTTAGGTCCCACCCTTCCGTCACACTCTTTGAAACAAGTACTTTATTTCTAGTGGGGTTGGGTGGCCGAATGGTTAGCACGTGCGCGCTGTATCATAAGGTCTGTCATTGAGCCAACTGGCGTGGTTTCGAATCCCCGATTGCACGTGACAAGGAGTAGGGTCGCCTGTCCAACCTCGTGGGTTTTCTCCGGGTCCTCCGGTTTCCTGCCACTGCTAAAGACCCCTACGCGCAAACGAATTATTGAAATAAAATTAAACCATATGTTAGTCCCGAAATGACCTAGTTTGTGTCTAGTGGACGTTAAACCCATCTCTCTCTCTCTCTCTCTCTCTCTCTCTCTCTCGTTTTATTTCTAGAGATTGGATTTAGATAAAAATTTGGAAATTTCAATATGACAGTCAATGCCAATTATTTTTCAATGTCGTTTACAGATTCTGGTTATTGGTAGACTATCGCCATTCAGAAGAACGATCGCATCACGTCATTTTTTGTAAATCCTTATTTACTTCATTTTGCGTGAAGGCTGTATGATTACATGTACGGGGGGTTGGATGGCCAAATGGTTAGCGTGTGCGCGCTGCGTCATAAGGTCTGTCATTGAGTCGCCTGGTAGGGTAGGGTAGGGTCACCTGTCCAACCTCGTGGGTTTTCTCCAGGTCCTCCCCGCCCCCCCCCCCCCCACTGCTAAAGGCGCCTAAGCGCAAACGAATTTTTGAAATAAAATTGGACCATATGTTAGTCCCGAAATGACCTAGTTTGTGTCGAGTGGACGGTAAACCCCATCTTTCTCTCTCTCTCTGTCAGGTCCGCAGGTTTGTCTTACCGGATTTGTTTTGCGTGTAGTATGGTTATCTCGCACTTACTATTAATCGACTTGGTTATGGTCTTGTCTACTTAATAATTTATATAACATTTCAGGCCCAAAGAAAGATCTGCTAGGCAGATTTATCTCTTACATAATGCCTGTTTAATTAAGCTACTGGAATCGAAATATACAACGAAACCATAACCATATGTACGGTGGCCTTTTAGTGCCATATGTTGATTTATACCCTTTTCTTGTAATATACCTTTCCTCTTGTCAGTGGTGCAGAACGGAGGGCCTGACAAGGACAGCTGTCTAGTCCTTCGGATGAGACGAAAAACCATGGTCCCGTGTATACATTGGAATGCACGTAAAAGATCCCTTGGCAGTTGGAATTCGATATAAGAGTAGGCGATAGTGCCACTGCCCGGGTATATTTCCCTCATAGCACACTGTATGGCGTATGCCCGTCTTCATTAGCCCAGTATAGGAGCAGAACAGTAGGACGTTAAACCCCATTTCATTTCATTTCATTTGTAATATACCTCATATGAGAATGAAAAAAAGACCTTTTCTCCGCGGTGTAAAGCTTTTGTCCGCGGTTTAAAGTTTTTTCATTGTGATTTATCCTAGTTTTCACTGTAATTTCTCATATTCCAAGAAAAAGGTATAAATCAACGTATGTCACTAAAAGGCCACCGTAGTTATGTGCACCTCCGCCATTCATTGTGAATGTTTTTTTGATAAATTAAACAGAACAGAACTGTTATGGGATATCAATCACTGGTTCTATTCTAGTAGCATAGTGTTTCGACAGGTAATCTCTCACCGTTATCATTGTACTTAATAACGATAAGAGTATACCTGTCGAAACGTCGTACTATTAGAATAAAACCAGTGATTGGAGTAATTGCACGACGTATTGACATGTATCCTCTAGTGCCTTATTGGTTAATTCAAATCAACATTGATGTTATCATTTTACCGTGAAAAGATGGGCTTCTGATATCCAATATTCAAGACAAAATGAACATTTTAAAATTGGCACACGAATCGCGCGCCAGAATGATTTCGAGCGCCATTTTAAATGAAGCGACTCGATGAATGAGACTGCACATACTCCACACGAGAATACCACCGGTGTAGACTGGAATAACCAGGCGCCAAAGACTGTCATTCAATTTGTACTCTTCGAATATTTCGCCGAACAAAATTGATTAGATATTACAGTAAAAACAGAAACGACTGAATGTAAATCAGTTTATATACATACATATTACATTATTATATTCGTTGCGACCCATTTCTGTCCATTTTAGGTGCTAAAAAAGGATTCAGCCCCTTTAAATATAAAGTAGTATGGGTTTTAGAAATGAAATGAAATGAAATGGGGTTTAACGTCCTACTGTTCTGCTCCTAAACTGGGCTAATGAAGACGGGCATACGCCATACAGTGTGCTATGAGGGAAATTTTGCCCGGGCAGCGGCACTACGGCCTACGCTTATATTATAATTCCAACTGCCAAGGGATCTTTTACGTGCACGCCAATGTGTACACGGGACCTCGGTTTTTCGTCCCATCCGAACGACTAGACAGCTTTCCTTGTCAGGCCCTCCGTCCTGCATCACTGACAAGGGGAAACCACGTCGGAAAATCTGGATGAACTTTCTCGGCCAATGCAGGGATCGAACACCCGACCTCATGGCTAGCGTGCCAGCGTCTTACCCACTTAGTCACGTGATCCCCCAGTATGGGTTTTAGTACAGAGGTTTTCATATTTCATGTTGAAAAACATCCACCCTATTTTCCCTACTGGTTGACAAGCTCCCTTTTAGAGTCCCATCTTCAATTTTCCCGGTTGGAGCAGACAAGTAGGACGTTAAACCCCATTTTATTCATTCATTTCACCCAAGAAATAGTTTTGTAATCCTCCAATTTCATTTCTTATTTTATATTGAGCATTATTTTTAATAATAGTTTCACTCTATATCATTTTATTTTCCAGTTCGTGAGCACTATCATCTGAAACAAAACGATCTGTTGAGCTCATATTTATAAAAGAAAACAGCGATAAGTGCCGATAGCGACATTGCATTCAACAATTTGGCATGTAAATTAAATCAATTTTACGTTACAAATGTATACAAAATAACGCAGGAAAATGCAATATTTTCACACCCTTTTTTTTATATCTATAAATAAACGTTCTCAAAAGGCACAAATTCTGAAATAATACAAAAAATAAGTTTATCCACACCGTCTGAAATTAGAAGAGTTATTTCAAAATCGATGAAAGACAAAAGTAATAATGAGCTTCGCACGTCTGAAATCCGTTAAACAAATTGTATATTTAGTTTACACAGCGAGCAATGTTGAGAAGTCGTGTATAGGTATCTGGATTGGGAATATTTAATAAACACATCTACATGTATGAAGCATGTTAAATCGGGAAAACTCGTCACACCGTGTTGTTAATATGTATCAACTACAGAATGCCAGGTATTTCTCCTTATTGGACTAATCAATTTCTGTTAAATTTAAACCCAGTCTTGAACTAACTCTAAACCATCCATTACGCATTTCCACAAATTTACATTGATAAGGCAGGATGCCGCTTATGTTCCTGGTATGTCTAATAATCGTTGACGATGATTGGCAGTTTCCATGCCCTGTGTTAGACGAGTGAGATTTATTTATTTGTTTCAATTTAGAAGTTATGTTGGCCTGCTAATGTCATAACTAAATCTCACGAACCGTACACATCAACGATTTATTTTTTTATCTTCAAGAAAAGAAAGCGGGTATTTAATGTGTAACAACAGCAATCGGCTGTGTTTAAAACAAGTGTTTAAAACATCTTAAAAATAGCACTTCAATAAATTCGTATGCCTACCTCCATGAAGTGGTTCGGCGGTTTTTGGTCCCCATCTTTGATCAAAACAGTATAAGTCTATTTGTATTGTTATTACATATGTTTATTGTATTTCAAATTTTATTAGAAATTTTCAAACAATCATTCCAATCATATTTATATATTTTTGTACTTTGTCATTTATTAAAGATACATTATGTAAGATTTAGATAAAGCACTAGCCATTCTTGCTATAATAGTTCGAAAGTAGATGATGTAAAATGAATAATTTGAAAATTTCATTCAAATTACTCTATTGCAAGCGAAGATATTAACCTTTGAAGTTTGAACAGACGTGTGCAATAATTTCAACCACCGTACTGGTTGATCGAAGCTAAGTCTCGGTGCTCCATATTTGATTAAATCAAAGTATTGCTGAACCATTCTAATCTATTTAATATCGGAGAAATCTGATGCCATCGAGGGTTGATTAAGGCCCGGATCAGTTAATTAATGCCTAATTAATACTTTAGAAAACATTTCAGGCCTAAAGAAAGACCTGCAATAGGCAGACTTAGCTCTTGCATAATGCATGTTTAAGTGGGCATTAGGTAAGATTAGATAAAGAGCTGGC